GTAGGCTAAGCAATTCAACCAATCTCACATTCCTCAGGGGAGAGAAACTGGGCACTACACTTGGCTGGCTCAAGGTGAAATTCAAATTCCCTCAGATTCATTCTCTACGGGGAAAAATTATGTCTCTTCAGCTTTGTGGGTTCTCTGCAAGCAGAGTAGGGGAATAGATTGAGTTTAAACATCTTTTCTGTTAATTTTGGAGGGGGGAGAGAGAGAGAGGAAAAGGTGGCTGTTACATTATAGCTACTTTACAGCTTGGTTTGACTACAGTGAAGCACACTCCTGCCTCCTTTGTAAAACCAACTCATGTAAGCACACGTTTTCTGATCTTCAATGAATATTTTGAAATCAATTTTTAATGTTTCATAAGAGAGCTCTGCCATGCTCTTACAAGAAATTAATGCACAAAGTTAACATGGTGAAAATCTGAACTTTCCCTTTGAAATGGAGACTGGGTTGGCAGGAGGATGTTAAACAGGTTTGTGACTTGGGTTATATTACAAAGCTAAAAATGATTAGGTCTGGGGTTTCCTTCACCTGCGTAAGTGAACACGGATGAACAAGCTGGAAATTCTCAGTCTGCTAACTTTAATCAATACAACAAATGCACAGGAGATTTACCATTTGATAGGAGTTGCTAAGAAAATACAGTATTACGATTCAATTGATAGGTAATAAAATATATTTGCAAAATAACAACAAACGTTAAGATAGCAGGGGGTCGTTGTAAAACACTTCATAGCTAAACCAGAAACAGTAAGTGCACCTACATGGTTTTATGTTTGGAAAGCGATTTTTCGCTCTATTCCAAGGCAAGTCGGCATCAGTTGAAGAAAGATCCTGAAGAAATTTTGGCAATTCCTGTGAAACAGAGGAATTTGGCAAAGTTTACATTTATCAGAGGCAAATAAGAAATTCCACTTAGTGAGAAACAACTCTTTGTTCTAAAACTTTCAAAAAATTTTTTTAAATTAAAACTATCATCACTGTGGAAACAAGGTCAAAATAACAGTGATGAGTTTGCCTGAACTTTCACCCTAAATTTCCTGAGCAAAGTTGGTCAGGTGGCTGTTGCTTTTTCTGAGATGATGTCCCCATACTTCGGGAGGCCCTACGGCAAGGCACCCATGCTAGTGACCATTTTCCATATGTTACTAACAGTTTCCTCAGGTGCCTGCTGACTATTATTTATTATTTTAATGTCTACTTAATAAGAAGAAGAGAGTCCAATGATTTATTTTTTGTTTTTTCTCCTTGGGCAGTGTGATTTCATGCCTATTCATCAGTACAACATTGGGCAGTTTGAAAAAATGCCCAAGGTCAGTCCCTGCGCTCAGTGGGCATTGTTAAATCATGGTGGAAAACCAGAGTGCAACTGAGAATTATCAGACACAGACTGAGGGTCAAGAAGATCAACTACGGACATTCTGATGAAAAATCACACTATCTACCTGCCTTAATCTGTGTGAAACAAGCATCATTATCAAAGCTGGTACAAGACAATGTGTTTATTATTTTGTTGACCTGGTGATTTACATTGATGGAATTTATTGTTTTTCATTTGAGAAATCTGAACTTGCTGAATTCCTAAAAGGGTGTTAAAACATTTTTCGTACAATTTTTTAGACATCTTCATTAGGCATTTTTTTAATTGGATAATTCTCCCTTTCTTCAGTTGCTTACATGCCGTTATATGTTAGGGAGAAAGATGGTGTAAGCATCTGAATTCTCCTGTGTTGGTAACAAAGGTTTATAAAATGATCTTTTAACCAAATGGGGAGTCCTAGGACAAAGGTTTGACACGTGAAGAAGGAGGGGGAAGGTGAGTTTAAAATGGACCAAAAAGGATACTTGTATTTTATAATTACTTTAAATGTCCACTTGTACACTTCACCGACTCTGGCCTTGGTAAGCAATACCAATGACCAGACTGATCACGGAGTTAGAAACGTCACAGGGGACAGTCTCACCCTCATCAGGGAACACGGGGCCTCAACCATCCTCCCTATTTCACCCTTTCTCGTGCTGTGTCCTCCCTTCTCAGGGCATTACAGATGGGTTAGCCTGCTTCGCACCATTACACTTCTGCACTCACTCCCTCTCTGTGGATGATTACGGGATTTCTGCTCATCCTCAAGGCCACCTTTTCAATGAAGCCTTTTCTGACTGATCTCCAGACCGACCTGATCCTCACCTCTTTATGCGTCTCTCTATTGCAATGTAGCATATTTGTAATTTTGGGGTGCAGGTCTGCCTCTTACAGGACTCTTGCAGGATTCTTCATGGCAAGAATTATCATCTTAATACCTGTCCTTGTATCAGCTACTGATCTTAGTATTGTGCACATTCAACCCTTTCAGTATCCACAGCTCAATGAAGTGGATATTCTCATGTCACAAAGGAGGACATGGAGACACACAGAGTTTCATTGGTATGCCCAGGGTCACTCGGCTGGGAGGTGCCAGCTGACATCTCTCCATGTGCCAAATACAACGTCTATCACATCATAGGAGCTGACCAATGTTTAAGGTCTGAGTGAATGTGATCTGAGTTGAAAGGTTTATCCAATATACTCATCAAATATGCATTTGTCAAGTATAGCACAATGTTAAAAAGTAGACAGCAGAATATTGTTCATTAAAAATACTTCACAAAGCATTAGGAGGAAAAAAAAATAATTAAAAAAAGCCAAGATCTTAAAATCAAGTTTTTCAAAAGAGTTAAACTAAAACCTTTCTCGATAAAATATATACAAAAATATTATTGCTAATAGAACTTTTCATCTACTCAGTCATGCATAATGTAATTATATTCGCTCCTATTGTAGTGAAACTAAACTTTTGCTCCCGAAAAATTGAGAGTTCTTGCTGCATAAATGTTAAGAAAAATTTTATGGTACCATTGATTTTGCTAAGTCCTGACTAATATTACTTAAGAAGCATAACCAAAAACTGCAGGAAATACCGTTAATCTTCTCATATTGTTGTTATTACTCCCTGAGAGACTGAAATATTATAATCCTGAATTATTTAAGCCAATCATTTGAGTCTTTGTTTCATAAGTTCACATACTCAGAAATGCATGGAAAAAAAAAAGAAAATTTTTTGATGATATTCCGAAATCCGTTTTATTTTTATAATATAAGATAATCATCTAAGTTAGCTAAGATGCTGACAAGGGTCTACTTTATGCTTTAAAACAATTTCAATTGTACAGATATATAAAATACTTAAAAACAATTGTTTTTACTAACCTTTAAATAGTTAAAAAGTAATAAGTTCTTAATTTTACACATTTCTACAATGCGATATAGCATTTAATCCGTGGTAATTTAAAAACAAGTTTCACAAAACATGGCACTATCTATATTTGTTTAATTTTTAAATTTTTGGACAGTTATAGAAATAACATTATTTTTGCCGTTTCTGGAAACATGAGGTTCCTTTTCCACGTTCATCTCTAGCACTATTGTAAATGATGTAGAAGGATAAAAATAAAATTATTTAATGTCTATACGTAAAATAATCATTTACATATAAGACCCCATGTATATAGCATGATCCAAACCTGGCATCAAACAAAAACTAAAGGACGTGGCATTCTGGATTTGTAGCGACATCGGAAAGAAAGAGCAGAGAGGAACCAAGGTCAGGCTGCCGTTGCGGGGAGGTCTGCGGAGAGCCCCGGTCCTGACACAGTGGGTGAATCATTCCGATCGGGTTGCACCGGAGGCCGCTCCGGGTAGCATTACTATCCAAACAATCAACCTGGTAATTGGGTATTGATTATCAAGGCCAGCGTCCTCCATGGCCTCACATGCTTAAAATGGACATGAAATGTGACACATGAAACGCCTGGGGGTCTGGCAGTGTTGTGACAACTGCTGCTAACATACCGAAAATTCTTCTTGGAACTTCAGATTGTTGTTTGTGCAGAGCTCTTCGACGTGTTGCAGGAAAGACTTCTTGCTTATGGGCCTCCAAATAAAGAAAGGTATAAAGCGGAGTCAAGTTAGATTAAGCTGCTCTCACACGCGCACGGCTGCCTGCTCACAAGCTGAAGCTGAACAAAGGGACATCTCAAAAACCACAAACAACACAGCCATTTAAAGTCACTTGGTCATATTTACAACATTAATTGTTTCTCTTGAAGTTCACTTTCTGTGTATTCCTGGCATGAAATTCCTTCATTTTTTTCCAGTGACTTCAAGTGAAGGATTTCACATTTTAATGAAAAACATTTTCGAGTAAATGGAAGGGCATGGAGTTATCACTGAATCCGAAAGTGCATAATACCTCTTTGTCATACAGAAAACATTTCATACATTACAAGGTTTTAGAAGATATAAAATATTGCAGTGACCTCATTCTCATAATGACATGGTTTTTAAACCCCCAGGAGTTTAAATATCCCCATATTACTTCCCAAGCTAAAACACAGACAGGCAAGCTTCACCCCCGAGAGAGAGAAAGCATTTCTCCAGTTACCGTGCAATTAGTCATGCTTTATGATTTATATCCAGCTTGGAGGTTTTTCCAACAAACATCCAAAAAGGGAACCACACATTAAGATTCACTTGAGTCAGTAAGTCTAAAGTCGATACTCAAAAAGTAGAAAAAAAATACTTAAACTTACTTGATGGATTTTCTATAACTAAGCAACCTGCAACAGAGATTGTGTTAAATGCATTGTGAGTTAAAGGAGACAGCTATTCTGAAAGAGTTCTAGATTAAAATCAGAAAATTATGTAAATCAGTAACATAGAATATACCCTGCCTTTAATAAACATGTGATTATTATGTTAAATTATATATATTTGGAAAATATCTTATTCGGACTCACATATGATCAAATAATATTCTATCTTCTCTCTTCAGCTAAAAAGTGTTACTATTACATTGTTTGACAATTAGGGCACTACATTAAAACAGCATATAAATACTATATATTTCAGAGTATCTAGTGGAATAAAAGAGTTAATGCAGATTTTAAAAATATTTTATCTATCTACAGAAAGGGTTTAACTGGGGAGAATGGATCTATGAAAAATGACATCATATTCCAGTATCTTGTTTTATGAGTAAGTTTAAATGAACATACAGGTATGACTGAAATTACAGACATTTAGAATATCTCTTATGACAGATCTTTGGCCAAGGTATTTATGCTCTGAAAAAACTGAAATAAATTTTAACAGCTAAATAGATTATGCAACACACACAAACTTAGAGATGGCGCCGTCATTAACAACACTGCACCATGCATGCCAGATTACCACAGCAAAAAACCAAAAAAGGCACAACATGTAATGACATAAAAGCAAAGAATGTATAACTTTTTCAAAGTTTTCAATGTTAAGTGACATTAGGGATAATTTTACTGTATTCCTTTTGTGTGTCATTATGAAAATGTTGAGATATACAGTAATCAAGAAATGTACAACCCACACGGACAGAAACAGGTTAAGCCGTCCCAATACCACCAATGAACCGAGCAAGCTGAGACTTGCCCAGGGGAATCAGAAAGGATGCTGTCCACCACATCGCTTGGAAGTGAAACGATGGACCATACCACAGTCTGTCTCAAAACTTTCATAATGACCTGCTTTACAAGGAGATGTTGTTTTTGAAATAAAGGATGAATAAGAGAAAATGATTGGCATAAAAATATTATGAAAATGGTCACAAAGAGATAAGCTCAATGAAGAAAAAATGAGTCAAAAGGAAATATATTTCATTACAGGGAAGGAATTGGTGAAAAATACGGGTGCTCTGGTTCAGGTATTTCCAAGAATAATAGAATTCTTAGCTAATGATGAATGTCCCTAAGCAGAAGGGTCTCTCAGCTTCTGAGGGTTTGAGCTGGTAGAGCCTTCATTATCAAACACGGCATCAAAGTGATAAAGTTGTAATGGCTGAGCCAACATTTTGGAGGATAAGCTAAGACCTTCACATAATACCCTAGAGCGATTCTAAGAAGGCAGCAGAGAATTCCTGACTCTACCCAGATAAATACGGAGATGGCTGAATCTCTCCTTGATTTGGGGACGGGAAAACAGAGCATCTAAAAATTGGACGCCCTGGAACTATCTTTGACATGGCAACAGATGACAGATGCAGTGGAGATGGAAGCAAAAATCAACCGCTGGTGGAAATAATTACCCCTCAGCAAAAAGACAAGAAAAACTGTAACCACAGGCTAGACCCACATTACCTAGCCCCCTTTAGATAACTGGTGGCCCAATGACCTACGCATCAGATTTTCCAGAAATAAGAAAGAAAAGAGGGTTGGGTTGGGCAAATCCTGATTTATTTAACTTAAGATATAAATGACAATGATGACTGAATTATCAAGATCTATTTCTCTGCTATACATGGCAATGGAAGTTATTGAGCTGGGTGGAGATCACTTTTATTATAACAGGGAACATTCCTCTGATAAAATTCAAACATACTCTATCTGATTTAGAGGCAGGCTCACGGTCCACCTATTAAAGGATCGTCAGACTACCACTCTATAGTGGAGAGATTCTCTTTTCCCAAAGGAACTGGAATTATTTGAAGTTTCACTGGGATAACTGGAATCTAACCAATGCTGGTTTCTGGGACGCCACTAGTAAGTCATTTGAAGAATCAGTACACGTTTGTTAAACTCCAAGAGATGCCACACATGAATAATTACATGAAACTATAAATGAGCTTGACATAGCTCATGCACAATATTATTATTCACATCTTTATTCTTCAATTAGCTCCATTTTTCATTTCAGGAATTATAATTAATTGAATAGATGTATGTATTTTCTGGTAAGTCCATTACTTTTAGTGAAAAACCCTACAGAAAATTACTTTTACTTTAGCATTCTTCTTTCATTTTGAATTTGAAAACCCTCCGTGAAGATACTAATTTTAAATCTTGACCGACTAGCGATTTGATTTGAGGGGATATTTGTGAATTCCGGCTTTATCATGTCATGTCCTTACTGGTTTCAAATGCCTGTTCCAACAATTAACAGCTATACTGTCCTGAGTTACTTAATTTTTCTGTGCTTCAGTTTTCTAACTTGAAAAATGGGGAAAATACTTATAAATCACATTTACATATATTATGTAAAAGGCTTAGAAAAGTCATTGGCTTTGTAAGCAACACACACTATTAATTACTATAATAATATTATAATTACTATTTCTAGTTTATCTGGTATAATTTAAGCTGCTCCTACCTGTACTGTCCTACAATTGATACTGATGTAAGAAAGAGATTTTTTTTTTGCTGAAAGAGTATTTTTTTTACTTCAGTCAAAAAAATGGGTAGGCTGGATTGTTCTAAATTAAACAGTAAGAGTTCCTATTGTACTTTTCCCAATCAGCTTAACAGGTGGTCACAAATATGTAGGTTTCAAATCCAAGTCTGGACTTATAGTTCTCAATTCAAGAACCCAAATGAATCTGTAATATACTGGCCATAATTCAGTTTTCCTATGATCACGTGAAAGCACTTCTCACCACATCCACGTCTCTGACATTATTCTTGGGATCGTCCCTTCACACCCCCTGTTTGAATCCAGGCCATCTCCCAGCACCCCTTCCTCTCAATTTATAATCATTCCAGGTGTCTCCCCCACAACTAAATTCTGCATATTATCTTAATATCTAATTCAAATGTTAACTTCTCCATGCACCTTATGTTCTACTAAAACAAAGAGAAAGAGGAAAAAAATTATTTTCCCCTTGAAATAAAATTTCTGTGTCCAAATCACTTTTGATTGTGTACTATGGCTATTTAAATCCTTAAAAATATGAATGGCTTGTCATGTATACTTGAGAGCTTGGCAAGGGTTAACAATTGGCTTCCTCTATGTTCCCCACAATGTAATTTATAGTAAACACAGAATTAATCATTTATAAAAATAAAATTATGAATAAATTCCAATTTAGATACACAGAGGCAAAATATAAGGCTATAGTTATCATGAGAGAATATCTGAATTGAATGAATTTTTTTCAGTAAAATATTAAGAAACTGAGAAGTCTTAGGAGGGCCTAACTCAAAGCTTTAAGTAAGTATGATCGGTAGATTCATCAATAAACAGTATATAAGTCTAAAGAAAGGCTATATTAGGGTACCTAACATTGGAAGTTAAAAAGTCCTAGATACGTGGTTAGGAAGTTAGAGGTGTGAATAATAAATTTGCTCTTCCCTATCCAATTGTTAAAAAAAATTAGGCATCAACTGTATCAATAAAAAAAGAAGCGAAGTCTGATCTGATTTTATTTTCTTTTGTATCACTCTCTAAACCTAATTGCTTTATATAATCTGCTTTTCATATTTGTGTTCACATAAAACAAGGAACAAGGTTCTCACAGTCTATTTTCATGTAATTGCCAGTTTATACTTATGTCACAATCACATGGGAAATGAAATCTTGAATTACTTCTCAGGAAAGATCGAATTTAGAGGACATTTTAGTATAAATTACCTGAGTATTTCAAATGAAAATTAATTTTCCCCCTTCACTCTTGTGAATCCCCCTACTTTGATTCTCGGCTTCATGTTGTTTGAGTGTATTTATCCCTTAGGCATTGGCTGCATTCTAAATTGTATTTTTCTGTAAGGTTTTATTTATTTATTTATTTTTTTATACAGAGTCTCATTATGTTGCCCTCTGTAAGGTGCTGTGACATCACAGCTCACAGCAACCTCCAACTCTAGGCCTTAAGCAATTCTCTTGCCTCAGCCTCCCAAGTAACTGGGACTACAAGTGCCTGCTACAACGCCCAGCTATTCTGTGAGGTTTTAAACTTTTACCTTTACATAGAAAAATATTAATTTGAACAAACTATAGAGAGAATTAAAAAAAGAAGGTGATGGGGTGGTGCCTGTGGCTCAAAGAAGTAGGGCACCAGCCCCATATGCCAGAGGTGGCAGGTTCAAACCCAGCCCCAGCCAAAAACTGCAAAAAAAAAAAAAAAAAAAAGGTGAGACACACTGTAAGGAAAATTTATTAATTTTTCACTGGTGAGGCAATTAAATTCCTTATAGGAAAAAATATTTGGTTAGATACGTGTCGAAAAACTCACAGAAATTGATACATGAAAGTCAACAATGTTATTTCAAGGGAATGCTATTTTCAAATCAAGGATTGAGAAGACCCACAAATAAATTCAAACAGAAAATTTTTATTAACATTTTTTAAAAACTCTTTTTAAAAAATTAATACATTGAAAACATTTTTAGACTGGTAGGGCATTTGGATTCATTTACTATAGTGAAGGTTCCTGCCGAATTATATTCAGTTCCTTAGTGAATAAATCAATCATGGAAGGGTCCAGATTTCAATAAGATAACTAACCACTTTCCAATATAAAGGGCTAAACACTTTTTATTACATGCATCTTAGCTGTCTTAGGTCCTATGTCTTTTGGTTGAAAAGGGTATTATTTCACATCTGGGCTCATTTCTTTAAAGTCTATCAAAAACTTAAATTCTGCTCAGATTACTCCTGACGGATCTAGAGAGGAACCATTTATTTATGTTGGCAGTGGTGATTGAAGACCATATTGTCACAGAGACTCAGCTTCCCTCAAGGTCAATTACTTGAAATCTATGGGGAATTAATTATAGTCCTAATAGAATGCCATGCCAGATAGCCTATAGAGGAG